TGTGCACTGTGTAAACAATGAGTGACGTATACACGCGAGAGATCACTTCCGGCGCTTGCGTAAACTACGCCAGAGTTTAGGTGAGACACACCTCACGCACCGGATGCCGTGCGCGCGCCCAAAGACAGTTGGACATAGTGGTGTATTAGAGGTAAAAAATGATATAAATACTGTTCGATTTCTGGCACAAACCGATCGTTTTGTGTCTTAGGACATCAATGTGTCGTCACGAGCCGCAGGGTTTAATTTGGATTTGTCTGTGCATGTTTTTTTTACTCTCATAGATTTTGTTACTATTGCCATGCATTATACGACTGATAGACTGCAACGGTTAAAGTTAAAAATCATCATATGTGTTCTACTGAAGAAACAAAGTCACCTACATCTTGGATGCCCTGGGGGTAAGCAGATAAACATCACATTTTCATTTTTGGGTGAACCATCCCTTTAAATACATTAAAATACCCAGATAGCACACGTACGTCTGCAAGAGCTCTGTTAAAGATCGCTTCATCTGGAAAGCATCTGCTGTGTACAAACATCTCTAAGATGTCAGTTTTAGATCTTAAAGACATCTTCTAAACGTCTATTTGACATCTGATAGGAAACGTCCGTATTGCAGACGAGCAAACACTCTAAAAAAATACGTCTTGCAGATGTAAATGCAGACGTCAAATAGATGTGCGTGTGCTATCAGGGTACTTGAATTATTTACTTATTTTAAATAAAAAAAAAAAAAACGTCCCCTACTCCAAAAATTGGGCCAGTGTTCAAGAACTGGCTTTGAATATTAGATGTAAACAGGCCCATAGATGCAGATGCTTTAGTTTTGCATCTCAACTGTCCTTTTATTTCAGCGTATGTGCGTCGTCTTGAGGAGATCAGAGTTGTTTTGCTGGGATGGGTTCTTGCAGGAAAGAGTTCAGCTGGAAACACCATCTTGAACCGGGATGAATTTGCCGTAGGAGGAAAAACCGGAGAGGGTACGAGAGGGTTTGGAGATGTAGATGGAAGGAAGATGACCGTTTTGGACACTCCAGGCTGGTGGAAGTACTTCGGATCTGAACTCAACCCAGATTTTATTAGATCTGCGATCTTAGGAAGCGTTTCAGAGTGTAAGAAGTTCCCTCATGCCATGCTGCTCGTGATTCCAGCAGACACATCATTTCAAGAAGAACAAAAGAGGATCGCTGAGCAAAATATGTCTATCCTGGGAGACGACGTCTGGAGACACACTATAGTTTTGTTCACGTGGGGCGACAGATTTAAAGACATCTCAATCGAGCAGCACATTGAGAGTGAAGGTGAAGCTCTTCAGTGGCTGATTGAGAAATGCAGGAACAGATATCACGTCTTTGACAACACAGACAAGAAGAATCGAGATCAAGTCTCAGGGCTGCTGCAGAAGATTGATGAGATGGCGGCAGAAAACAGTCTGTTTCGCCTTAACACAAGGAAAAACTGTGATGAGAAAAGCTGTCAGAAAACTGACAAACAAGGGGATCTGAATATGGAGATCAGACTGAAGGATGTCTGTCACTTTCTAGATGAGGGGTTTAAGAGAAAAGCTGAAGAGATAAGAAGGAAGATAGAAAAGTTATGCATGGATATCATGGAAGAATGTCTAAACCGTGATGAATGTAGCAGTATGAGTAATCCTCTGAACTGTAAGTTTTCACTCACTTTCATGTTCTCAGGTATCATTTGTAAAGACTGAACATCATGTTTCATTTGTAGTTCAGAATAAACCTCCTCATTCCCTAAAAGAAGTGATTATTCCACCTCAAAAGGACAACAGTAAGTGAGGTTTTTGAACTATGTTTTAAAATAACGAAACTAAAAATATATAAATCGTCAGTTCTGAAAACCAAAAGTGGATATTCAGGATTTCTAACAGTTCGTGGTGAGAATTATTCTGTGGTGTGAACAGTGATCTCTTTTCAGTTCCTGAGCCGATTAAAGCACTTCTGCAGAGAGAGTTCAGCAGATGGGAAAGTATAATCATAGATGGTGTTCAGGAAAGCTTGCAAGACATTAAATCATCATTCGGTAAGTCATTCTAATGGAGCAGATGAACCTGTTTTACACAGTATAAATTGAGTGTTTGTGTTCCACAGAGAAATCATTGAAATGCATTCTAAAATTGCATTTTAATGTCATATTTTCAGAGCTCACTCAGGCTGAGAAGAGACGAATGTCAGAGCATGCTGTTGAGAGATGGTTACAAAATTACAACCATTATGTTCAACATACTATTGATAAAATACAAGATCCAGGATCTGGGATCAGGACAAAGAGACTGAAAAAACGATGACACTGTACAGCACAGAGGTTTTAAGACACTGTCGTTTTTTTTCATATATATATATATATATATATATATATTTACACGCTTGTTGAACTGTTGTATAAATCAAACTTTTGTATAAATGCAATATCACGCTCATAGCCTAGTATTATCACTCTATATCAGCTACGAGTGTGATATTGTTCACTTAATTTAAATGCACATGTTTTATACATGCAAACTTTTAGTAAACTGCAGCCTTATAATGATCAAAAGAGCAGTTATTCAGATTTGCTATTCTATTTCTATTTTATCTCATTTAATTCTGCTCTGCACCTGTTGTGATGTTCAGCTGAAGGAGTATTGTTGTTTATGGTTCTCTTGAATTGCACAAATAAAGACTCAGCTGATACGAATTTGATTCTGCCCTTCGTTTTTACTTAAACATGAGCATAACCAGAAATTCTGGTCTGTTTATGGAAAAACACACAAGGATGCTGGATTCAGATTGATATGTGGGACTGTTTAACAAAGAGAGGAAATTGCCTTAAAGTGTGGTTGCTTTTACGGTTGTTCAGCAAATTTGAAAGATATGCCCATGCATAATTTGCACCAGATTCAAATTTGTCAAACAAATTCAGTACGTTGACGGAAGACATCACTACACTATTGCCAATAGACAATATAGGCTGCCTGTTTTTCTTTGTTAATATGTAATTCTGAATCTGTGTTAAGAAGCTTTTTATTCAATTTTTTGTCTTCATGAGTAGTTATTAATCTTTTTTATAAACCTGATCTGAAGTGATTTTTTACAGTACACCACAACAGTCGTCCTGGTGCAATATGAGGTTCAGTGATTTGGTCAAGAACATAGAGGTGAAAGAGAAACTCACACTTTATAGTCAGATTTTTTCTGCAGGTTTGCATCAATATTGTATCCACAAACTCAGGCCAGCATTTTTAAATGGACCATAAAGAGCAACCCAGTCCTTCAAGCAGATCAAATGTAGAGGTGACTCGAACAGTATACTTGAAAGACAAATTGAAAAGGAAAAACACGTCGATCTAAGTGCTAAACCTTGTCATAGTTTTAAAAGATGGATTTATGGATTCCATTAACTAAGACATTTAAAAGAAAACCAACAGTAGATGATTTCAGCTGTGATTCGAAATAATTGAAACCTTACTATGTTGATAAATGTTTTGTAAGTCACTTTGTATAAAAGCATACAAAAGCATACAATTTGCTACATGATTAAATGTAAATGTAAAACGAGTTAGAAATAAATGTTAGTTTCATTACTACACTGCTGTTTAAAAGTTTGGGGTCAGTAAGATTTGTAATGTGTTTTAAAGAAAGAGATTAAGTTTTTGTGTTCATGTCGTCATATAGTGAAACGCAGAGGCCAGAAATCACCGCGAGTGTCACGCGTGCTTCAGTATTTGTGTAGTAAACAAAACCGCGTTTCCGCCATTCATACATACAGAGGCAAGCGGGACATGCAGGATTCATATTTAAACCGTCTTTTTGCATTTTATTATTCACAGACACTAGTTCATATGCAATTCGAATTAAGTGGCAGACCTACTTTTGATTTATTCATCCAAAATTGACGAATTCCGTGGCATTCCGCGCTATAGAGTAAATTACGTTTTTATAGGGCTGTGAATCTTTTGGTAGTCAGCGAATCGATTCGATTCATGATTCATAGGTTTTTGATTCGATTCAAGAACGATTTTTGCAAATTCAGAACGATTCGATTCGATTCACAATTAAATTCGATTTGATTAACGATTCGATTCTGCATTATTTAAGTGCATTCACAGGATTATTTAAATGCTTCCACTAAATTCTTTAAATGCTTAGTCGGAGCAAATTATACAGTAGCCTTTATGGCTCGAGAACCATAGGTTAGAGAAAAAAAAACACACACTTTTGTCCATTGTTAGATGCTAGTTTAATGATGCTATGGCATGACATGGCATATGTAGAAATTTATGTAAGCCAAGATTTTAAAAAAGAGCTTTAAATTTATTATGTATAGGCTAACATTTTGTCACACCAGGGGCGTAGCCATCATTTCAGAAGTGACAGAAATGTCAAATACAATAATTTTATGTATGTAT